CGGTAGCTTCTAGTTACAGCCGCCGTAGTGTTTGTGAACTCTATTGTGGTGTGCGCCTACACCGTTTTTGAAAATCGCTTTACTGTTGTTCGTTGCATAATTTGCATGTACGAAAGGCGGCGACTCCTATTGTTATTCGGAATCAGTATACCAAACAGGAGGGTTCTGGTACTGTCCATGTTAACTGTGGTTACTCGACCAACATTAAGTACACTTAAACTGTATAGGTATTACAGGGCTTAATGCCACCTGCCTATACACTTATTGTTAAGCTAACAGTGTGGCGTAGAAAAACATACTGGAGATAATGAAATAAAACGAATTACAAAAATCGAAAGTAATTTTTAAACAAACGAGTTTTTTTTTTATTGACATAAGTGTTTCAGATAGCGGGTAAAAAGTAAGAATTTTGATTTCCATTGAAAAAATCTAGTGCGCCCATTATTCGGGTGAATACGCTTTTTAAAAACTGTAATGATCATGCAAAACAAAATAACAACGATAATTTGTTGAAAACGAATTTTTAGAAATTAAAACGCTAATCTTTTATGATGTCAATAAGTTCAAAACTAGTTTCAAAATCTAAGATATTACTTAGACCTAATGAAAAATTCATAGCGTCCTAGTATTTTCAATAGAGAAAATGTAAAACATTCATTGATGAATAGGTAATTTTCCAACATTTTTCATTAAGAAAAAAAAAATTGATATTCTAATGAATACAGCGCGCAATTAGTGAAAATGTTTTTATTAAATCAATGGATTACACTGAATTTTTAGAAGAAGGAGTTTTGTTAAAAGATGAATTTCTTCTCCAAATTTCGTTAATTACAAACGAATTGAACAAGCGAGTTATGTGTTAATTTGCAGCAGTTGTAAACCTGCGGGACGCGGGCTGACCTGAATAGATCCGTGTTACTACTAAACATCACGAACTTGTAATGTAATTTTTACTACAATCAACACGCAAGTATATATATATATATTTTTAAATGTCGAGTCGGCCAATAAACTATCACGAGCTAACATAAAATTACGGTTCGTAAATGGCTTCAAAATAATAACCAAAAAACATACTGTTTTACAGTTTACACCTTGGAATACATAATGTAATTACTTTACAAAAGAAAAGTCAAGTGTCTATAACCGATTTAAACTTCTAAATATTGTAGTATAGCCCATGCAGTCAGTATATTTAGAATCATAGTAGGCAGTATGTGCACATTTCTTTTTTAAAAGATTCTTAAATATTTTTAGTCGAAAATATAAGTGACATGCCGATAAAAGTTAATTATGTTATTTAGTTCATTTTATTTTTTGTAAAAAATATCTAAAATTATTTTAAAAAAGTGTTGGTTATTTATTTAATTTTTAAAAATGTACATCAAAACTATTTTCAAACAACTAATTTTAAATTTAACATAAAATTAGATATGACTTATTTAACTGCTTGAAATAAATATAAATTGTTAATTTGATTTAATAAACTAGAGTGTACATTATTTCTTTGTTATTTCCTAGTTATTAAATTATTTTAAAAGATTACTGAACATTCATGATGAAAATTAAATTTTAATTAATTGAAAATCAAACAAGAAATGAATTTATTTAATTAATACATGTTTTTAGCTTTGAATATAAAAACTACACGAATTTATTTTAATTTGAAGTCTTATGGAATAACTTTATGTGATTTGTCCTTCCACTATAATTATTATCTATATTTTAAATAATTACACCACTTTTTCAGAAAATATCAAAAATGTGAAAATATTTTTGTGTCATTGGTAATTTTGATGTTTCATTGACATAAGAAAAGTCGACTATCTGTAACACATCATAATGATTTTTTAATGTCCTGCCTCTGATAGAAACAGTAACCAAAAAAACAAATTATTGGGTAAATGAACTTGAATGAACTATACACATGTGTTTGCCATCCTATATAAACATTTGTTTAACAATTATGCTCAAAATGATAAAATTATCAATATATTAATTTTTTCATCGACGAAGAAATGCGACACTTGAAAACTTTTGTTAAAAAAAATTGGGATTTACAATTTATGATTTATTTTTTTTTAATTACTTCAAACTAATAAAAATAAATTCAATAATGATTTATAATTTAAATTACTTACAACATTTATCAGTGTCTAAGTATAAGTTCATAAACCAAAATTCAAGGAAATTATTATTTTTAAAATTTTGATCACCGTGGCAATAGTTATTTTTTATTTGCGCAGAGATTTTACAATATATATAACTGACATAACGACTTTAACATTCAACAATCGGATTGTTTAGCTATGTATATTTTTAACGCTTAAAAAACTGTATTGTACTGAAATTTCGAAAGAATAGTAGAAACTGAATAGTTTCGTGAGTACTTGGTGTGTCTAAAAGAACTTCATGTTTCAGACGCTCTTAAAAGTGTGTGAAACGATAAGATTTTAGTGTATTTAGTGTGTTATCTGTTATTATTTAAATTTGTTATCGCCATGGATGTTTACTATGTGACTATTGAAACTAGGCATAGCATTTTTTATTCAAATTTTTTTAATATCTTATTTTTTCCAAGGTTGGGCTAGTTAGTCATATTTTCTTACTTATGAAGTTCTGTTTAATTTAAAATATCATGTTGAGTTATGAGTTGTTATAACGAACATAGTAGAAATTTTTGCTGTCTATATAAAAGGCATTTTTTTTAAAGAAATATAAACTATCCATTCCAGTCCATACCATAAAAACTAAAAGGAAACATTTTATAGTAGTACTATGAAATACTTAAATATCATATAATTTTGATATTGCTATTCAAGACATAGACAGTTATCTTAAGTCCAGTACCTCCTTGGGGTACAATTCATATATTTCAAATTTCTGGGAAAAATGATTTTATTTCTGTATAGTACTTAACAGTTTATCAACTACAACAACTGAACATTCACATAACTTATTCAAAAATAAAATGAAATTTGCTTATTTTGTTAAAGTTATTCAACAAAAACATCACATTATAATATTGGTTAAGTTAGTATGAACAAACTAAGTTAAAAATTGTAATTAATTAATTTTTTTAATACATTAGCGCTCCACTTTGATTTTTACCTAAAGAACCATCTACAATATAATATTTTACTCAAAACAATGTTTTTACAATATAAAAATACTAAAATATTCGCCTAGTCGGCAACATTTTGTCAATAACTTGTCAAAGTATCCAAATCAGTTTTCTTCTATTAAGTTTATGTCTAATTTCTCAATTTTTAGTTTAAAATACTCTCTGAAATTTTAACTGTCGATTTTTTTTGTCTAAATACAAATAATTTAATACCTACGGGTATGGATACAAAATTATTTCAAGAGGTTACTCGGAAAATAGTTCTATTCTATTCGTGATTATATATTTCAAATTGTTCAAACAATTATTAGTGACAAAAATACGTATTGTTAAACTAACCTAATTTACTTATTTCCATAGTGACTGATCATTCGATCAGTAGTACCTACTTATAGTAAAATGGGAATCAAATATTATATTGTTTACTTCTAGTTTATCGAATATAATTTTTTTAATAATAAAAAAGAGTTGCTTTTTGTTCTACAGAATAGACTCTTCGGAATAAACTATTCAACAGTCTATACATACTATAAATCTATTTCGTTATTAATATAGTTTTAACTGCGTACAAAAGTATAAGCACTGATTTTAATTAATGCACAAAATCTTAAATAAATAAATATACCCATAGGTATAAAATAAGCCATAAAGAAAGCAATATTTTCCATTTAGACATTCTTTTTTTAAGTATGTAACCATACTGTTTTAGGTAGTAAATGGCGGTAAAAGATTGTTTTGCATAAGTGACAAAATTAAACAATTGACCGAACAAGGTCCAAATTTTTAATAAACAATTGTCTTTGTTTATACTTACAATAATATAAACAAAATCGTGTCCTAAATAATAATATTTCGTGTAATAATTTTTAACTGTCAGTGATATCCCAGGCCGTATAAACTTAAGTAAAAGATTCTATTGTAGAAACTTGATTATAGTGAATAAAAACTGTTATGTGATTAAGGAAATACACCAACAAACGGTCGTTGATGTATTTTCAATATTCATTCGACTTTTTAAATATTTCTACAATGTCATATCAAAATAAACAAGGAAAAACGACTTTAACCATTTTGGGAAAATATTATCATTATTTTATCAATATTAATCAGAAAAGGATAGTCTAAACATGTTTTGATAAAAACTAAAGTAATCACACCTAATAATGCTTATTTTTAGACTATAGAAGCGTTCATTAGGGCAAAAACAACAAAGAAATGAAATGCGACACGAGCATAACTAAAGTATATCATTAAGTAAACTTAGAATGTTTTTTATATAAAATTTTTTTTTTATCAATATGTGTAGCAAAACTATTAAATATTAGTTTAACTAGTTAAAAATCATTAATATAAGCTTTTAAACATTTTTCGGCTATTTACAACTGACCAATTGTATGTTATGATCATGATTGGGTTCTCATGATAACCAAAAGTTATGGAAACTTTTTACGCACCTCATTATGAGGAATTTATTGAACAAAAAATCTGATCTTTAAATTTTTATTTTTATATTTTATTCAATTGAAGATTTTGGAGCAACATTTATAAGTGTCAATTTTTAAAACTCCACATTGATTTTTAGTATTTAATGAAAAATGATAAAGTTTTCTTGAGGTTTGTGCAATTCACGAGTTAAACATAAATTTGTTGAAAATAAGTTAATGAAGCGACAAAATATACATTTTCAACAAATATAAAGATCACTAAACGTTGGGAATTTTCTTTTAGATTTCGTAAAAAATGATTGTTAAGACATGGGCATACTTAGATGTTGCCCTAAGGTCTTCTTTAACTAACTTCAGAAATAATTTATAATACTTGTGTAAAAGTCTACTTCCTATTTATAAAATACATATGCAGCAAAACATGTACTTACTTATTGACGGTATGTCGGCAGACATATCGTAGGGCTCCGACTTGACCGGTGATATTCGCAGGGGGCCCCTATGCAGGGCGGACGGCATCAGGGTAGCCAGCGTGGTGGTTCCTGCGGATGGGCTGCAGTATGGGGACCACGCGTGTCCCGGCGCCCACGCGTTGGACGTTGTCGAACTCACGGTGGGTGCACGTTCGACCATAAAACAATCAGCGTCCGCAACGAACTTGGACCGAGTGCAAACTACGGGTTAAATATTTAAGTGTTATTAGAACAAAATACTCAGTTTTTTTTTCATTAAATCTGTATTCGGACCGCTAGAGTTAAAAAATAGCTACAACAACAAAAACCTAAGTAATATTGGGCCTCTAAGAATAGCCGACGCCTGATGTTTTGCGTTTATATGTTCATACAATATGTATGAACGTACATAGTAACAAACGTGCGTGTATACATTTTAAATTATGCGTGTATTTTGTTTGTGCGAATTTTGATGTCGACTACCGTGCACGGACGCGCGTCCCGGCGACACCGCACTAGACACTTTACTGTCGACCCGTATCGCTTTGGCCGTCTCCGCCTGGCCAGTAACTTGCGCTCCGCCCATCAATACTTCCTATTGGCTGTGGCCACCGTAAAATGGCCGGCGCTGAGCTCTAGTGGGCGACTTGCGTACACGTTGTTTCTTTATCGATTCAAAGCCTCGGCAGTGGAGCCAAAAGCATACGTTGCGCCGTCAAGTCAGGTGCATCGTCCCTTTAAACAAAAATCACTGCGTACCAGACACTCGGTGTTTCAGAGTCGCCGATATTATCACACAGTTATTGATTATCAGTATAAGCTATCAGAGTTTTAATGCGAAATACTGTAAATTATTTGAAAAGTCAAGTGTTAAGGTTGAATAGTCCGCTTACACGTGTTTTAAAAAAGCTGTACATATAGGCCTAACTCTGGTGTAAAACATACCTAAGCAAACTGACGTTTTGTTGTCTTTTAAATTTAAACGCTACAAAAGTACTACAACTAATGTTACAGTATTTTTAGAAATCGAACACTTCAAACATGCCGCTTTAGATATCACCTAGGCCACTTTTGGTAAAAACTTTAAAAATTGATTTTTCTTTTCGTTACAGAAAACGTATAAAAAAACTCGAACAATAACGTGCAATAATCTTTACCTTTGCAAACAAAACTTGTACTAAAAAATATATAAAAGAGCTAATGCTAAACGTAGTTTTACGAAGAACATGTACAAGAAGACAGAAACAACATTAAATTGTTAAATATGAACTGACACGTTATAAATTGCAAACTATTAAAATTTCAATAAATTAAAACTTAAAATGAATGAGACTTTCGTAAATTTATCTACAATGAAAATAAAAAACACGTATTTACAGTAAAAACTCCGAATAAGTGTCTAAAGCATTTCAATGGGATCACATAGTTACACAGCACCTTGAAATTAGTTTAACTCTTAGTGAAAAATGTAACGCCTGTTTGAAGGCATCCGCACGGTAAATAGGAGAAACGTGTTTAAGTACAATTTTATTTTTTAAGTGACAATCGAAGAAACAAAGCGACAACCTCTCGAAAACAAGCAAATGAAATTTTACAATTTAAGATGTTAACCGGAGTTGTTGCCTTAAAGGCTTTTTAAGGTTCATTTTGTTCACAACATAACGATTTTAAATAAACTTAATATACAAAAGAGCATTTTTTCACGCCACTGAAATGTCTCGAAAGAGTCTTTTAGAACGCGAAAAATGTACGAAATAGCAGAGTATAGTGGAGGTGTACACGAACCTTTTAATGAATACTTTAATCATCATTAAGTTTGTAAAACCACCTGCGTGCTCATCATACGATCGGTATACTTTCGGCACAACGACAATGCATTTAAAAGTTATAAAAAATTTAATGAATTTTCTTTTTGATAACACATTAATACAAACAACAAAAACTGGTATATATATATATATTTTTTTTTGTAAAATTAATAGGTATATATAGTTGCCCTAAGAAATTTTAATTATATATTTTAAAGTAATACATTAAAAAGGTTAATATTGTTTATATAAAAATAAATATTGCTATTAATAATTATAAGAACCTAAAATGTTATGAAGTTCGATTATTTTAGCATAAAAAATGTTAATATTAAATATATTTATTCACGTGTGTAGTGTTTACTTATTACTCATAAGTTGTTTGTAATTTTGTTTAATTTTGATTTTTCTGTTCTTTGGTCGTTTATCATTATTCAATTTTTTTTATTAATACAATGCACACCAAATCTATTATTATTTTTTTATTGGAATTATTTGTTCATTATTACAAGGTATTAACGTTTTAACTTTAATACTATGAAAAAATAAATAGTCAATTGATAAATAATGACCCATTGGTTATTTTCACAAAATATTGTGTTGTATCGTATCAGTGTTGCAAAAACCAATGTGTCTTTTATTGAGGAGGGCCACTAATTTTAAAATTATGGAAAGGGGTGGAGGTACTGTCCATGCACATGCTCCCGGCTAGTAGTCGTGGCATTGAGTCGTATCACACATTTTTTTAAAGAAAATTATACATTTATTAAAATTCCTATGCTGATTTTTAGTTATTACTAATAAGTTAGGTAAACACATCACTCATACCATTTAATTTTACTCTTTGGATAATATTTATACTTTAAAAGTGCCAAAAGTAATAACTGAAATTATTGCCTTTTTAAAAATAAAAATTTACTACGAGACAATTTTTGATTTATTAAAATAATTATTATTTTTTAATTGTTCTTAGAACGTGAAATAAACTCCATACATAGTTTTAGAACTCATGTATTTTTTTCATGTTGTATTTTAAGAAAATGGATGTGAAGTCGGTCCAATTGTAATGCACTTTAAACTTATTATTTATATTAAACTTAAGAAATATATTTCATATATTAACAAGACGAATGAATCAAAATTGATAACGATAGTTTTAATTACATGGCCGACATCAGATTGGTACTAATAAATGTATGGAAGTTGAAAGGAAAATAACTTTTTTCGTTCAAGTATAATATTATGACGAAGGTTACTATTTTACAATAGTAAATACAATTAATGTGTGAGCTAATTAGAGTACCGTAAGTTTTGAATTTTATATATAAATTTTAGTTAAAAAAATCGTCCAAGGTGTAGGATGAAAAAATTGATTTGTAAGAGATCAAGGAATATTTAAAAAGCGGTTAGTAATCAAACGAATTGAAACCGTTTCGTACAAAAACAGAATATGTATAAAAGTGATAACTACGTTGGGATAGGTTTGCAAAATGAAATTAAAAAAAAAAAAATAATGTAAGACCCGTACAAAGTATACTTTTAAAATATCAGGCTGTGCGTAAAAAGTATGAGACCGCAAATTGTGAAAAGTCGTAATGTTGTAGCAATAATTAACAGTAATCAGTGGTTTAATTGATAATTTAAAAGCGTTCATGCGCAATATTGAAATTAGCCTTTCGATAATTCCAGAAAAATTATATACGCTGTTGTGTAAAAATATCTTGGGGGGGAGAAAAATTTAATAGACCCGCCGCTTGCACGTTTTAGGGAATCTAGACGATTTCTACCGTTAAAATGTTTTCCCATAAATGTAATTTAAGGCGTTCAAAGTATTTGTTATAGAGATGAATAAATAGACGAAAAAAAGTTGTTTGAAGTATTAAAGAAATATTTTTCTAATAAAAAGTTATTTACATTATCAATTTCCGAATAATTTATGCGATTGACGTTCGGAGTAAATAAAAACATAAACGAATAACTTCTCAAGGTTTTTGTTGTCGTTGTAACTTTTGTTCAAATCGTCCGGGCGAGTGGATACTTTTGCATGTAATAACAATACTGTCGCATTGCGCACGACAAATAATTAACATGATCTCGACTGATGTGCAACGTGTACTTACTGTCGTCCGCTGTGCAATGATACGGTGGCATGTCTTCCGATTTCAACTGTGTCGTTTTGAATAAAAACCCTTTTTACTATGGCCAGGAACTCCTTGCAGGACGTTATTGAACGTGTTCAAATACTTCAATCACTGTTCACGGTCGACGACCAACTGATCTTGGACCGTTTAAACCGCAATGTGGTCCCGAGTCGTGTCCGTCCGTCCCCCAGCATGTGCGTATGTTGTCACACAGACTGGCGCCAAAAATGGGTAAAAATCGTCTGGAACAGGTAAAACGTGTATGTGGCATACACAAACACTTACACGCACAGTGGAGAACACGAGACACGTTGAAATTCGGTGCCGGCGACAGCAGAGAATCGACGTGTGACAATAATAAGGCGCCCGATCAGACGTCTGCAGTCGGATATACGTGACGCGAACAATCAAAACTTCCGGCAATAAAACACCTTGTCAACCCTTTTTTTCCACTTCTCGCGTCCATTGCATCCATTTATACGCCGCGAAGGCTTTTCTACTGACACCGTCTACTACAATTTAATTTAATTATGAATGGACACGTCTTGTGTTGCGTATAGTGAATTATTTACCCGGCCGGCGTCAGCTCGTAAAATAACTATTTTACAGCTTCGGCCGAGTTGACCTTCGCTATTATCCACTCACTGAAAACGGACTGCGGTTTTTCGGCAAGTTATCACTGTAGAACACCTTGAAAAGGTCATCGCCGTAGTGTCATAGAGACACGACGTTCTATGCGTAGAACATCTTTAACTGCACTAGACTCTATGGCTACTTTAAAGACTGTGCTGAAAAAACGACATCTAGAACCACCTACGCCTTATTCACACTCGATTTTGCATCTTTAGGCGAGCGGCATACTTAAAAGAGTGTCGATGCGGCGGTCATTTCAAACATTGCTCACTCTGTGTCAGCTTGCTGTCTCTTTCCTTTTAATCATACCACTTCTCAATAGTGATCTGTCAACATTTTAAACGTTTTTGACGAATCCGTTGACAAATTTAGGTCATTTCGAGGACAACAGTCGTGATGACTATCAGATTTGTTGATTTAAGTGATANCGACATCTAGAACCACTTACGCCTTATTCACACTCGATTTTGCATCTTCAGGCGAGCGGCATACTTAAAAGAGTGTCTATGCGGCGGTCATTTCAGACATTGCTCACTCTGTGTCAGCTTGCTTTCTCTTTCCTTTTAATCATACCACTTCTCAATAGTGATCTGTCAACATTTTTGACGAATCCGTTGACAAATTTAGGTCATTTCGAGGACAACAGTCGTGATGACTATCAGATTTGTTGATTTAAGTGATACGACGTCACGTGTGTCATAAACGTACGCATTACATTTAATAGAATCAATTTAAAAAGACAATGATCTTTAAGTTTGAAAAATGAGACATATTAAATTAATTCCAGAAATTATGTTAAAATATTTTTTATTTTTTATAAAAGCTAAAAGTGTAAAACAAAATTTTTAATGTAGACAATTTATTTTTGAAAAATATTTTTGTCATCCGAAATTTATTTTTAAGTATTTAAAAACACCTCAAGGTTATTTCAATCGATTTTTGAAAGTCGCAAAGTATAAATGGAATACCAACATTTATAACCTAAATAAAACTCAATATACCTAACCATCAAAGGTAATGTTAGTTCAATAATCCGATAAAATATTTGTTAAGTTTCTAAAATTAAACTTAAATGAGAGAAAACCCAGGGGAACTGGATGTCTTCTTACGAGCGGTACTGTACCAAACAAGTGTCTCTATTAAAGTATATTTTATAATTATTTTACACAATTCAACATTTCAAATTCTTAAATGTGTGCATTGACCTTATTTTTTCCCACGTTATTTGGCTTTAAATATTATTATGATCTTATTAGATTGATGATATTGCAAGAGTTGATACAAACAAATTTTACTCATCAAAAATAAAATAAAACAAGACATTATTTTTAACGAGCATCCATAACAAATATATATTTAATTCCTAGTAATTACTTGTATTATGCTATAATTTATTAATTATCTTCAAAATTAAAAATAACCTAAAGAATTATTTTTAATGAAATAACTAGCAAAATAAATATTAAGATATTTTTATTGGTTGCTAATAAAGGCATTATATACAATTGAAAGTTTGATATTTAATTTAATTTGTAAGACACTTTTGTAGAAAATATGATTTCCTATACTTTTAACAATAATTATTGCATATAATACAGTGTACTACAGTCAGTAGCATCTACAATGTCTCTCAGAAACTTCAGAAAAACACTCAGAAGTGTTTTTATGAACGTTTTATAATGTTCTTAAAAGTCGAATACATCAAGTTGGAACCTAAAAGTGATGCAAACTGCATTCAACCGCTTAGTTGCGCCTTTGAAAGTGTTGCGAAGCCGATTGATCAGCCAGCGGATGCACATTTTAAGTGTCATAAACTACTACACGAACAGATATGCTTCCGAAGAAGTCCACGGCAGGCGGCTGATCAATTCTGTACGGACATTTATGCTGCGCTTGAACTTGTTGTTCGCCCAGCAATAAGCTCTTACCTGGTCTAAGTCGGACCGTCTCGACTTGTACGGTCGAAGAGTCTTAAAGAAGCTCAATTAGATTGCCGCTCAGATGGAGGTACGCGCCAATCGGAGCAGACGTTTGATGAAAAAGTGTGAAGAGACATTCCACTTTTATAATGGAAGGTCAGATCGCCTTTCATCGTCACGTCCCAATCGCCCTCCTCGGAGTTTTTTGTGACTGAGTTTGTAGTTTTCCGGACGTTTATTTATTCCAATTTTTACCGACCGCATATACATGTACAGTATACGCTTAGCACACATTATTGTACATTTATATGTGTTCATACTGCGAATTTTCGTTTCATTTAGAGTTTTGTTTGCAACACATAAGTGGTATGTGCACATATTTAACCATTATTATTGTGATTTTTTACACATGGATAATTTTTTTTTTGGATGCGTTCAATGGCCTATATTAATTTTGTTTATATAAACTATTTTGTCTTTGTCTTGTAATAATTTATTATTTTTTAAATAAATATTATTTATTTCTACATTGAATCAACGAGTGTTTTTCTTAAAATTACTTTATTCATAATAGCGATCGCTAATATAATATCTTAAATGTTCATAAATAAATACAAATTACGACATATTATGATATAAGATGAGACGGTGTATCTGTTGCTTATTTGTACATGATAACATGATAACTATAAGTATTTATGTACATTCATTAGAAGAAATTTCGTTGAATCGCTATTCGGTTTTCTCATACAACTGTTCAAATGCTTGTAGTCCTGTCAAATATATAGTTATTAATTATCGCTCGCTTGTAAAAATTTAATACTGCCTTGGTCATATACTGAATTTTTTTATGCAATTCATTTCAACTAAATCATTAACTACACTACCAATCTTCTAATTCTTTTAATACATTAACCATTAAAAAATATTGTTTCGTAGCAGGCAGCTAGATCGGAGGACGGCTAGTTGTGCACCGCACTAGGCTGCCGATTTACCTTAAGCCTGTTTAAATCGCTATTTTTGAAGCAAGAGAGAGGTCATCTGGGAGGATGACGGCTAACCGTACATCCAATAAGTAACGAGAGTGACAAATAACTACATATACTAGAAGTTCTTCAAAGAGTATCTTAAACTTAAGGGGTGACGGGGGCCCTTAAATACTAATGGCCGGCGAAGCGGCATGAAACAAAATAGTTAAACTCAATTAAAACAAATAATAAATAACATTAAAACATAATATAAAACTCAGCTGATTGGATGAAGTTGTTAAAAGTGATGAGTGGACTGTATGAGATCTTGTGGTAATTGTGTCGACACATCTGAGTACCGCGAGTCAGAGTGTAGATCTGGGAACGTAATGGCAGATGAAAACAGACGGCGGAAAAGCGACTGTGGCAATGAAGTTATTTTAGTGATGTTCAGGGCCTAACACTGGCGACGTGCAAGAGAAGTTTGAGCACAAGGGTGTAAAAAACAAATAATAAGAATAACGGCGTAACATGGCCGAACAATTTACCGTTGGAGCGAAGGCGCTTGTTACAGAAAAGAATGACACATAAAACAAAACTCACTGACTTACGACGATGAACTGTACACGGATGACAATTGACACGGAGGTCATCGATTTGCCGTACTAGGTGGGCAAGGGGGTGAGTAAAGCAAAGACGCTGGAAATCAGCTGTCACACGATATAATCAACGGTGTTTGTGACAACTAGGTCTTTTCTAAAGAAGTTCTCTGCCAAACAAACATTATGATTTATTTAAATGCGACTTCACACTTGCCATAGTAAATTTGTGTACCGGGTTAAGTGTGATAATGCTTGTGTAAATCTTATTTATTAAGAATATCATAACTTGGATTATTTTAGAAATCACTTTCGCTGATAAAGAGACAAGTGCGCACTTTATTTTTTTTCTTCAATAAGTTCTGGCAAGTTTATTTTTTAATTTATTTGTTCTATTTATTATAGTTTCAGGTACTCTGGTATTTATTATGTTATACGTGATAACTATTATTATATCCTGTCGTGGGTTAGTATGATTTTACATCAAGTTTTATGCTCCGTGTGTCCTTTCTATTATTTTTCTCAAGACTTTGCTTCAGTTTTGGCAACAGGCAGACAGACAGACAGAGGTAACGTTGTACATTTTCCCTTTAAAGTTATAATGAATTTATACATAACCCGGTCTTCCCTATTTATATTTATAGGGTATTCAGTGAGTAAGAAAACGAGTTATTTTAGTAGGATATTTCCTAAATAATACTATTAAAGTAAATAAAAATAATAATCCGAATAGTTGCTTTTAATTCGACTTAAAAAATGTAACAGTTTACTTATGTAGCCATAAATAGAAATAAACAAATTATATAACAAGTATTGAATCCAACAATGCAAATATAATAATATAACTAAATTTTTCACTTCAATCATAAGCGCTTAATCAAACGACAGTAATTATTATGCGAAAAGTTGCATATTTGAAAATTGTATTACTTCTATACTTTTATAGATGAGTGTATGATAATGTAGAAAAAAAAACGAAAAGATTTAAAATTTTACAAATTTTAGAATGCTCTAGAAATGTTA